CAACAGTCAACTTCGATAAATAAATGATTTCTCTCGTTTAACGAAAGAAGAGGCACTCTGAGATACTTCCTGACATTCTCGGGTGTCAGAATAGTTGCCTACCCTGTCGCTCGCAGGAGTTTGGCCCCCTTTAATCACCTATCTATTTGAATCGCCTTTTGGTTTGGAACGAATCCTTTCCTTTGCGCATTTTTTCCAGTGTTCAGTTTTAAAGGGTCGGCGCTGGGAATAAAATTACTGGCTGGGAGGAAGGTTGCCCATCGATGCTCGGTTCGAATTCCAATTTTAACCGGGATCTCCAACTTTGTACACCAATCCCCGTTGATGAAGCCGATCGAACCCTGCCAGAGGCCCCTTTTTTCTCGTGCCCTTTGCATTCTATTTCCCGCACTAACCCTGTTTGAAATTTTGGTTCTGCGTAGCGGGGCTTTAAGGACGAGCTGCACTCAGGAAGAGAGGTAGGCAATTAGGCAACAAGGCGGTCGCGCTTCCTGCCGCTTTATTTCTAAAATTTTTGCGCACTTTTTTCTGCGCGCCATCATTATTTTCTCTTAGCCCACGAGACTTGCGCAGTTTTCGTGTTATTTTATGTGTAGTTGCGCTGCAAAGTTTATTTCTCTATCTCTATTTTTCACTCTCTCTTACTCTTTGGAAGGCCTCTGTCTCTTTCTAGGTTTCTGGCTTTGCGTCTCCCCCGCGCCCCTTTCTGTCTGTTAGTACCTTCACCTAGAGTGCACACACACACGTGCACCCCGAGTGCAGTGGAGATCCGGTCCCGTTCCGTGCACAGAACGCACGCTGTGTTGTGGCACAATGAAGGGCTTAGGGTTTTGTTGAAGAGTCTCAGCGTGGCTGAGGGCGTGCCTGCCGCCGCCCTCTCGCTCTCATCAGCAGCACGCCGGATCCCTGCCGCGCTGCGCGCCGGGCCCCCACACCCTGGCAGGGCCCTGCCAATCACTGGGGATGGATAAGATGGGTTTAGTGCTCTCTGTCAGGAACACCACGGCTCGGGCCGGCAGGGCGGGGTGGGGCGGGCGGGCTCGGACCGGGTGGGGCGGGGCCGATGTGCCACCCTCTATGACGGATGGGGCTGTTTGTACGCCTATGCGACCCGCTGACCCGGTTGGCACGCCACGGGCTCGACGCTCGACGCCCTCCTCTAACGCATGGGGTCTTCGCTGTTGACAGCACCGGAGGCTGAGCTACAGTCGGCACGCCGTCAACGACCGGGACCTGGCCACCCAGGAGGTCAACTACCGCATGCACATGAACCACATCCGCCGCCTGGTCGGCGACGAGCGCAAGCACCACCACAAGCGCTCCAAGCGCCTGGGCAAGGTGAGCAGCAAGCGCTATGTGTTCAAGGTGAGACGAGCAATTTATTTTTTAATTTTTTTATGAACTCTGTCTCCTATTATCTGTAATATTTGGTTAAGTGCTATTGGTGCCTGCTTCTTTCATAAGCACAAGGCGCCCCAAATATTTTCTACTGTTTGTTTGTTCGTTTGTTTGTTTGTTTGTTTGTTTGTTTGTTTGTTTTTTACACGGTAAAAAGAAGTCTCATTTTTGAGGAAAAAGGAAAAATTTTGAGGAACTCCCGTGTTTGAGGAAGAGTCCTCCGTTTTCGCCTCCGATTTTGAGGAATCTTCTCAAAAAATGAGGGAAAACCCCACATTTTTTGAGGAGACTTCCTCGAAATCTGAGGAGTTTTTGTCAAACCAGGGGAGTTCCTCAAAGTTTTCCCTTTTCCTAAAAAATATGAGACTTTGTTTTTACCGTGTTGTTTGTTTGTTTTTGAACTCGAGAGCAGATTAAAAAGAACCTTAAATTCTTCGGGTAGCTTAGTACAGGGGTCGGGAACTCAAGCTATACGCCAAGCCACGCCTGCATAGGCCGCACGCTCTACGAGATCTTCGGCATTAGAGTGAGAGAGACAGAGCTAGTAAGTTGTATCGGTGTCGTTCGCCTGTCTGCCTGTCTGGCTTTGTCCTTCTAATGGCACTCAATGAGTGAGACAAAGACAGAAACACACGCGGACCAACTTCGGCTTCAGCCGAAAGCAAGTGGTGTGCGAGTTTGCGGCCCCTGGCTGAGTACTATCAAGAGGCAAGGCCACAACTGACGTTCGCGGCACTGTTGCACAAATGGCTATATTCAAAATTGGGTTGAATACGGCATTTCAGAGTACGGACGGTAGAAGTAGAAAAATAACAAAATAGTACTGCCTGTTGCTCTTTCGCCGCAATCCGCATGCCAAGAAACACCTGGTTCCACGTTTAAAAATCCAGTATACAATACAGCAGTGTTGCTCAGTTTCGCCTAGTCGCTCCGCCCACAAGAGATCGTCTAGAGAGTACCTCCGTTTTTCTCAGATCCTCACGGGAGTTTAGCGCCTGCGAGACCCGGAGTAGGCCACCCCGTAGAACCCGTATGCATTGCAGGCAAGATATTGCCTACCCATCAGGCGCTATATGAGAACTTGCACAGGTTTCACTTGGCAATTTCGTCGCTGCGAATGACGGGCGTCAGTAGGATTCATGAGGCACCATACCCTCTTGAGTGGCCCAACCCGCAATACTGATGTGTATTAAACTTGACCCGCTGCACAGTGAAGTGTGAACGCCCTTTCTTCCGGATAACCTTTCTTAATCTTAAACTTGAGGTTTCCTTGCCTGTTCTGCCGATGTGGGTAGAAATGCGAAATGCTCAAGCGAAATGACACTTTTAACAACACATTTTTCTTGTTTGCAGGACGGAAAGCAAAATCACGTCAGTTTTCCAGGAATCCAGCAAAACGGGTCTGCCAAGCAATTCTCTCACGGTAAGCATCACTGACAACTCATGTCGGAGTGCCGGCGATTAGTTTTACACAACATATCGTTTGTCTCGTGCAGATTACATCGATGAGGTGATCCTGGAGGCTGAGGACGGCGAGGGCATCCCCACCACCAAGGAGGAGTGGGAGGGAGGCATCACGTTCACCGTCCACCCCTCCCGTGAGTGTGAGCCACGAGTGGCATTGCATGCCCATCGAATGGGTGGAGACATTTGTGAAAACCTACAGAAGCATGCCTCAACTCCTCTATCTCTCTCTCTCCTGCGCATTTGCATACATTTCCTTACATATTCCTGCTTATCTTATCTCTCCTAGTTCTGAAACACATCTTCTTTGGGATCCAGCCCGTGACGGCAGTGAAAGCATGGTGTTTCTTTTAAGCTTCCACATGATTGCTAAAACCGAAATAATCTCTTGAGACTGCGGAGACGAGCCAGTCGCCAGATTTTTTGACATGTCCTGCCTCCATTATGAGAAATAATTTATTATTGTGGATTTCTTTCCTCGACAGCAACCGTTTCAGGGAGTGGAGTCCCATTATGGGGTATGTTTACTTCTGGTTTCTTAGATACTGTTTACAGACGTGAGGTAGCCGCGACAAAATTTCATTTGCACTCGCATTTTACGATGCCTCTATCATGTGCACTGCACAATAATAAAACCGGCAGGACTTCGCTCGTTTCATTTCATAACTTTATTCCGTAAAATAATTGGGGAATAAATCGTGGCCGGTATCCCTATAGGTTTTCCATGCATTCATTAATTGTACGTGGCCTGATCTCTGTACTTTTACATCTCGCACGACTGGTCGACTTTTCTGTTTTCATTCGGCAGATCTTGAACAGAACATATTGTTTTCTGCTAGATGCGGGAGAAATACTGTATTTTTTTTTAGACCAGAGCCCTTTTCATTACCTCTGCGTTTGTTCAAGCTCATCTGTTACGCTAGTTCAAAATTTATGTTTTCGCTATTTGTCAACCCCACTCAGTAGGTTGTAAAACTACTTTTTCCAAATCCTTTTCGGAACAAAAAATGCCTTTTTCACCGTCTTAACATTGAATTTCTTGCACCCTCTGGCCCGCCATAGTCTTGCTTCCCCACTCACGAGCATCGACTTCTTTGTGGACGCTTACTTGTGCATTGTGTCCTACTTGCAAAAGTCGCGTCCCAATTTCTTCCGAAACTCGAAATGGTTGCTGAGTAACGCATGGAATTTTTAGAACTGGCACGGTTCATTGGTGTTTAGATGTGTGTTTAATTAACTTGTGTCTTTTAGAACCGTTAGTGCCGAGCTCATTGCATCTGTGTCACCATTCGTCATTAGACAATAAGTTTAGTTCCCCCGAGGGCTTTAATTTATGACAAAGCAAGTTCGGTCGCATGCTTTCACAACGATGTAGCACAGACGAGGTGACGACGCAAGGCGTGCTGTGCCATGACTAATTCAGAAAAAAACAAATTGGGACGCGCACTTTTGCTTGTAACTTTTTTCTTTTGAATTGAACCCTTTTCCTAACCTAACCTGTCTATCTCTCTGATGCGGCTAAGCTTCGGGCTCTGCGGCCGGATCTGGTTCTGGCTCGCCCTCGCCCGAGTGCGCGTTGCTTACCCAGGTAGCCTCCTTGCCAGGGTTGGACCCTCGCAGGGCCCGCCTCGTCAGGCAGTACTCGAAACCCGTAGACTATGACGACGCGCCCACCGTGGCCGAGGTGTCATTGCCTTGGAGGAGGGAGCGGGAGGGTAGGTCTACCTCTAGGTCCACCCATCAAGTAAATCGCCAAGGGGCTGGCCGGCCGGCCCACCCGCTCAGCCGGCGCGGTGCGAGAGGTCAGCTGGCACACTAGCATGTCGTAGTTCGGCTACTCGCTGCTCGGCTCTTGGGAATGCTTACAACTACAGTCGTAGTAGTGTCCAATCTATGAGACCGGGCGCCCTAGATCTTGGTCGCGAGGCAGGACGATATACAACGTCTTGGTGGGTTTAGTGAGACCTTTTGCATCGCACTGGAAGTGACAAACGATATCCAAGTTCTGCAACGCGGCGGGCGGCCTGCTCCTTGGTGGATGATAGCACTGCGCATGCGCTGGCATGCGCCAGGCATGCGCCGGGCATGCGCCGTAGCACGATGCGAAAGATCTCTCTCCGGCTTAGCGGAGCGCTGTATCATATTGTACCCATATACATTTTTTATTTACACGTAAAATAGTAATAACTAACCTTAGCTAAGCAGCATAAACTTTCGCGCTAACCTTTTCCATTTAAATGGGGTCTACACTGCCCAGGGAAACTCAATACACTGACCTCCAAAAAAGGTCAGATAGCTCTGTATGATTTAAATACTTAGTAAATGGTTGTGTTTTGACCCTGTTTCTTTCATTTCAAAGATAAAATCTTTTACATTATTTCTTGTCCAGAAATATCTGGAATTGACTGCTTCCTGTGGGGCTGTGGTTAGTTGAGAGCTTTTTGCTAGTTTAACCCTGCGAACGACATGCGGTGTGGCAGAACTGACTGCACTATCGCATTTAGATATGACTAAATTCAGGGACTCTTGTCAGTAGAGGCTGTAACTACAACTTACTCCAATAAGAAAAACATTGAGAACAAAAACAAAACTAGTATTTTATTCGTTCAAAATTTGTTTAAAATAATGTTGAAGATTATGCTGGTATTTAGACACTTAGGAATAATTTTATTTCAAACATCAACTTACGGCATTGAATGCTGTCTTCGATCCGGCCGTCGAAGTGATCGATCACATGGTAACTCAAGTTACCCCAATTGGGGCTCAAATGCCAGCACAGTGACAAAATGCTTTAGTTTAACGTTTCAACCAAAGAATTTCCTTGAAGGCAGTTTTTAATTGAATTTTCTAGCAGCCTCTTCCCTACCCTGTTAGTGATACCCCCGATGCTTTGCTGATTGGCTAGTGTAGTGCGCATTTAGGTGAGGGCTATTTGAACGGTTTTCAAGTGGTTCTCCGCTCCCCAGGAGGAACGCCACAATCATAACAGAAATGCTAAGAGGTGTATTGGCTTAGATTTTTCGCAATATTCGTTTGCCTGCACTTTTATAAAAATAGGACTTGGTAACTCTGCCTACAATTCTGCACGGATATCCTGATGAAAATGGCAGCTTTGGGTGTCAGATGCTCTTATGAATTGAATAATCAAACAATTATCATTCACAGCCTTCTTATGTCTTTTAAACCTGTTTAATTGCCCCTGGTGCCCTCGTGAAAATTGGCCTTCTCAGTAATTTGCCCAATGTTTTAGGAGTAAATCAGATTTGACCTAGCGAAACCTTAAACACTGTGGCTCGCCGCATCAGAGACGCCTGTTTTTGTTCTGAAGCGATAGACTTACTGACATGTGAGATCCTAATTACAATCTGGCCTCTTGGTCGTCTACGAATACCAAAAAGATTTACGGTAGGCAATTTAAAATGTTTTCTGCAATTGTTGCGTTTGTTGTCAACAATCAGGCTCACATGGTTGTCTTCGCTCCTAACCAACTGCGAGATGTCCTTAAGTCACGTGATGCCAATAAATATCTCGGTGTCACGTGTAATTTACGGGCATGCTCAGTATGTTTTCTTTGTAGCTGTCCTAGTCTCCTCGACTCGGGCGGCGGTGCCTTCTCTCTGTCCTCTTCTGTCTTCGTCTTACTCTGTCTTGCTTTCACACAGTAGTACCATTCACTTCCTCTTTGTAGTGCTTTTTTCTATTTTATTTATCACCAAAAAACCTAGGTTGGTCGCTGTTAGTCATCTTTGTAGCAGTCTACAAACCACGACCTGAAATGCTTTGTACAAAATACTTGCATGCATTTAAACCTGCCACTTATTTGGCCGTCTGCACGCGCTACAACTTGGAAATAAGTTATTGGAAACGTTGTCAATGTTAGACGTGTAAAATTTTAAAATATTATGTAAATTACATGTAAATGTATCATTCATAAGAAAAATTGCTTTAAATTTGTGTCCATTATGCCTAATCAGTAAGGTCGGATCGTTAGCACGCGCCACAAACGCCCTTAAACCCCAACATTTTTTATTTTTCAGAGGATCCTCTTTCATCTGGAAATGAACCTATCAAAAAGATTTCTCAGTGCTCCCAGTTATCGAGAGATGACGGTAAGCACATCGGACAATTCTGGTTGTGTACAGTTTTTTTTTCTTCGGCAAATACAGAAATTTGTCATTTTCAAATCCTGTGATGGCAGTGAGCGACGCGGGCCGGGTGTCCACGCCCACCGCGACGGAGAGCGTACTGCCTTGGAAGCGTGACGACGACTCTGGTGAGCTGAGTGGCCCAGTCAAGCAGCGAGAGTTCCCACCCTGGTGCACCAACAAGGAGTACCTAGCCTACAATTCACCGTCTGCAACCTTCCTAGGTTAGTTGTGTGCATGTCCATCGAAAATTGAATTATTAAATCAAGTGTCAGTAATTTAAAAAAATATGTATGGAAAGGAAACTAGACAGTTTTTAGAATAGAACAGTGTGCTACTCTGCTTGTCTTCCAAGATTAATTATACTGTTGCCTATATTTTCTTTTATCCTCGTCAAATTTATGTTTCTATGTTTTTGTCTTTTTGTCTTTTCATTTTTGAAGTAAAATGTTAGAGCAAGCCGATTATATGATATGTGAAGTATCCCTATTTCTATTCGACCTTTTGGCATTAGTTTAGGAAAATAGTTGAGGAAGAGGTGAGGAGGGGGGGTGCTAGAGCATGTTCTTGTTGGTTTCCCCTGTGTTTGTTCTGTCTCGTCTTCTAGTTCAGCACGCACTAGAGCATGGCATGCTGGCACGATGCTTTGACGCTCGATTTCTTGCAGGCGGCATTGAGCAGCCCAAGACGGCGTCTGTCATAGGACTGTTCCGACGCGATGGCTCGGCCGGCTCGAGGACGTCGTCCGAGACGTCGCTGCAACGCCAAGGGTCGGAGTCCCCGCCGTCCGGCCCCATGTCCATCCTCCTCATCGAGGAGGGCGTCTCCGGCGATCCCCTCGGAGTGGCGACGTCGGTTGGCCGGCGACCCCTGGCCGGCAGGAGAGGCAGCCTTCTGGAGCTCAGCACCCCCGTCGTGGATCCCATCCCGGAGGAAGACGCTCATTCGGGTAAAAAATGGTCCATTTTTTTACCGTTCGTACTCTAGAGGGGGGGGGGGAGTAAAAAAAGGTGGGATATATAGCACGTATTGACGAAAAAAAGGGGGGGCGGCACGCGTCCGAGATACCCATCTTCTGGAACGTACATAGGCAATTTGAGTTACAAAACACACCCTTGTTTACAGGCAACCTGTGCCCCACCCCCACCCCACTACTCCCGGTCGGGCGAGTGCCGAATCTTACTACACCCCAGGCCCAGGCCTCTAAAAAATCAATGAATACTTCACGCAGAAAAAAAAATCCGTGTCAGCTTATTTTATGGACAATTTGCCCCCCCCCCCCCCTTTCCCCATTTTCGTGCACGTAGAATTTGAATGGCCCCTAGACGAAAGTGCCAATTGCACGTTCTCATAATGAATCGTGTTTGCCTTTCGGCAGGTTCGACGCAGGCCACGACGCCATCCACCCCCGGTCCGACGCCGTCGCCTGCAACGACGGTGGCGGCTGGTTCACCGAATGAGACCACACCCGCATTGGGTCGGCGGCGACCTGGGTCGAGCATGAGTCAGGGTGGTGGTGGCGGCGGCAGCAGCAGTAGTCTCAGTCGCCTCAGGCAGCAGACGCTGTCTTCCGGGTCGTCGGCGTCCTCGTTTGGCGAGGAGCTTCCCGTGCACGTCCAGTTAGCCGAGATGGAAGAGGATCTGGACACCGAGGACGACATGGACGAGCGGACGCGGCTCAGCACGGACAGAACTTAATCTCAGCAAGTTTCGTCCTTTATTTTTTAAAGAAACTAGACTTTTCGTAATTTTTCAAAGCCGTTTAATTTATTGGTGTGGGTGGACCCTTCACTCTGTGACGCTCAAATCAGTCGGCTCCTGCCACATACTAAAGCCGTGCCTTGTCTAGGCCCGTAGGGTTCTTTATCCTCAACGACACCGCAAGGACGGAGCGTCGGTCTGACTCGGGTCATTCCAAGCAAACTTGAAATGAATAAGACATATGTACGCCTTGCTTCGAATGCTTTCTTGCCTACTCTGTCAAATAGCAAAAAATTGAGATCTCTATGAAATGTCTCCGATTTATACACATATGTAGTAGACTTGCGACTCTGTATGTCTGTATGGTTTCACGCCGAACAGATTTTGCGCTTCTAGTACATTTTTTCAAGTATACTGAACTGGAAGCGCTCGCCCTTCGACGCTAGGACATTTCTCTATTGTAAGAGGTTCAGAGTAACGGTAAAAGACTTGTGGAGCTGTGGGCGTTGCCATATGCCAGCCGTTAACTGCAGGTATAGCGCAGCGTCGGATTGCTGTGATGAGTGTATTTGCACGGTGGAGAAGCGAATAGTTAGACAATTTGTAATATACTGGCGCCGTATATGATGATTTTAAACAAGTTTCATGTGTGATTTTTGTGAGTATCCTTTTGCGTACGCGATGTGCTGAGGATGAGCAGTGAAACAGGGTTTTACAGAAGCGCGTCAGCTAGCATGCAGAGACTGATATGTGTGAATGTGTGCGTGGTGGGCGGCCCGGCGGCGGCACGAGTCCAGCCCCCCGCGTAGCTTCGTTAATAAGAATTATTGTACATACTTTTCTAGTAAAACGGATGTGCCTATATCGGGCGGCGTCCGTCGCCGCCTCTTTAGACGATTATATTTTGTAGTATTGTTTCATTGATTCGCAGCCCTCCTAGTGCGAACGAATGTTACCTGGCTGTGATACCTGTGGGGGATTCAGGCGTAACGCTCTGCGAGGGAAGTAAGTTAATTAGACTGTGGATGTGCCTTGCTTCGTCGGGAAGCATGCTGTGATGGACGCCCTCAGCCCTCGTCCTTCCCCGTGGGGAGACTGTAGATAGCCAAGGGCGCCAACATTTCAACGGAATATATTTTTCAATCGCTTATAAACCCGGGTGGAAGAATTAGTAGTTCGAACTATATGCGACTTCAGTAGTTAAACTTCGTTGGAATCTGAAGTTTGGACGCATTTTATTTCTAAACA